ATTTCAGCCTTAGTATTCTTCAATATTTCTAGCTCTTTTCTGAATTCATTCAGAAGTTTATCCCTATCTTCCTTCAGCTCTATGATTACCTTGTTTGTGTGTTCTTTAAATTCATTGAATTCTTTTATCATATTCATCATTGTTTTTTTGAGTTCCATGTCCTGCATTGTCTCTAGAGGATTCTCATTGTGCTCCTCTAGAGGATTACTGGTATTTGGTGGGGATATTTTATTTTGGTTTTTCATGTTATTATTTTTTCTCTGTGATTTTGACATGTGAATTTCTTTTGTAGTTTCTGACTCTTGTGTGATACTCGGGCCTTCAAGTTTAGTTCTGCTCCTTTTATTTTTGAGCTTTATGTTTCTTCGTGGTTTATTTTTTGGGTATGAAGAGCTGGTTCGTCTAAGCTTCTGGTTCTTTCTTTTGATTTTATATTGTTGAGGCCGGATTGTTTTTGTCTTCAGGAGTTCCGCGGTGGCCCAACTCTAATGTGGATCAGAAGTTTTCAGGTTTTCTCCTTAGGTCTGGAATCTTCTAAGAATGCTTTTGGCCTCAGGAATTTGGGTGTTGGACTGACCTGAGACCCTGGTTGTGGCCGCGACATGCAGGGATGCAAAGGCAGATGGGGCGGGAAGAAGCCCCAAGATTTCCCAGGGAGTGGATTGAGTAGCTGGGTTGTACTGGATGCAAAGGATCAGGGAGAGTAAAGGTAAGCCTCGGAGCCCCAGAAAGAGGCTGTCAGCCCCCGAAAGAGGGTGGCGGGTGTTGCAGGACCAGGGAAGTAGAGGGAGGTGAGGGCGGGGCCAGGACCAGAAGCGGTGCTTCTGGAGCCCAAGAAAGGGACTGGGTTGGTCTGGGTTAGAAGGATCAGGAAGCAGTATTGGTTCCCCAGGTGTCTGGGGCCCCAAGACTAGGGATGGCGCAGGGCCCAAACTAGGAGTATAGAACGGCAGGAGGGATGGAAGGGTGAATGTGGCTTAGGGAGTCCCGGCGTGGAGAGCTGCGCTATAGACTTACCCCAAGAGGCCTGAGGATGGTAGTGCAGGCTAGGAGAGTTAGCTGGTGATGCAGGCCCAGGGAAGCAGAGAGGGGTGAGGGCGTAAACCCAGTATTTTTAACAACTTGAGATCATACAAGCCTGGCAACTTACTAACATTAGGTTCCCTTACCTTTTCATATTGCAGTCAATTTTTTAAAACAAAATTAACATAACATTAGTCTTATTAAACTTTATTCCAGTTTTTTCTAGCTTCATTCTTAGTCCATGAAAAACATTTTATAAGATAGTTATCATTTTAATGATCCTAGCTATTCCACCATTCACAAATATGGTACCTGTTCTTCAATGTCTTTATTCATTTGTATAATTGTTAGGCTCAAGGCACGGAATAGAAGCTTATAAGAACACAACAGAGCTCTGGCAGTGTTGCTTAGCAGTAAAGTACTCAGCTGGCATGCATGAGGCCCTGGGTTGATCCTTAGAACAAAAGTAAATCAATCAACCAATCAATAAAATACCACTAGAAGGCCCCATCCAGGATGACATGTATTTCAATAATTCATTGATTACCCATTCAAAATTATTTATTAAATATCTATTATGGAGCATGTACTTGTAGAAGGCACAGGGGACACAGTCTCTACTAAGATAGACATTGTCTCTGACCTCACACCTCTTAAACAATTTAAAAGTAATGCAAACATTAACAAATAAAATAAGCATGTACAGCTGGAGGATCAACTTGGTGTTAGAAATCTATTCATGATTAGATTTACCTGAAAATACATGTTACTTACTATTCTCTAATCTGGTCATATTTGCTCCTCTATTCTGCAAGGACATCATATAATTTCAAATGGTCTACTTAGATTAAGATATATCTAGAACCAAGGCTTGCACGTAATAGACACATTTTTAAAAACTCTTGTGACATTCTCTAACAATGTAAAACTTAAGCCTTAAGTTGGTTCCTTCTACTGACAGATGTAAAAATGGGAAATTTATATTTTAAAAACCTTTGGCAATTTTACTAGTTGGCAGAGATAAACAAGCTCAACCAACTCTTACTTCATTCTTCCTCTTTCCCAGGAGAGCAACTGTCCAATTGGAAAAGATTTTTAAAAAATTACATTTGGCAATCCATTCTGCCAGACATAAAGAGTAATTTACAACACTGCTTCAAGCAGAACACAGTAATTTATAGCATTAGTCTCTTGTTTTAATGCATATATAAATCACTCAGGGCTCTTGTTAAGACAAAATTCTAACTTACTAGATTTTCTGTGAGTTCTAAAGTCTGCACTGTTAACAATCTCTCAGATGATGGCAATGCTGTTGGTGATGGAACACACTTTGACAAGGGTTAGTAGTTCATCTGTCCCCTTCTTTGACAAATGGAATGACATTTGTTTATTATCTGGCTCTTTTCCTAGTCCCCTGAGCTCATAACAATAAAAATTAAATGTCTGCATTGTAATTGTGGTTATGCTTATGTTTGTTGTTTGTTTAAATTTCAATATTCTGAGGTAAATTCTACCTTGACCTACAACATGGACTATAGCTGTCATCTTATATGCTATAAAACTATAGGCCCCTTAATCTTCATTAATCCTTTCCAATTGGATAACTACTCTCCTGGGAAAGATGAACATGAAATAAGAGTTAGTTGGATTTGTCTTACAACTGACAAAATTGCATCACCTAATCCAACAATCAAAACAGAGATATTTAATCCCAAAAATATGCAGCAAGCTAATGGCAGCATCGGGCCCAAATCTAGGCCTCCTGGCTGCTTTCTTACTAGAGTAGCCCACCTAGATTTAAAGCCCACATTCCCCACATTTCCATACTCTCATTCAGCCCACATTGCCTTATCTTATTCAATAAATTTATCAAAAATTATATTTACATATAGCAACATAGGTTGAGGCCAACCTGAGCTATGAGATTCTATCTGAAAAAAAAAAAAACACAAAACTACTTCCTATTTCCCCTTGTTTAGTTATAATTAATTCAGCAAAACTCAGAATATAGTTAGGCTTTATTATATATAATAATATATAGGCGCAAAATAGAAAGTCTAAGGAAATGTTTAGAAAACCTAATTATAATTACTACTTACTATGCTATAAAGGATTATTTTGTATGAGGCAAACAAGTGAAGGAGGAGAACTGGGATAATGATAGAAGTAGTTTTAGTTCAAGCACTGTTACCACAAGATTTCAATATTATTTTCCATGCATTATATGTAACTTTTTAAAGTTCTGATCATTTAAAATAGAATTCTTACACAATTATTTTGTTTTATTCCTATTATTATATCAGTTCTCCCAAAAATACAAATTATTAATAGACTTATCCATTTCCAAAAAGCTCAAACTTGAGAAAATTTGTCTTAAATCAATTAGTCACTATTTTCAGCACAGTCCCCAGAACATAAACATATATTGACAGCAAGAAATAGTGAGAAATTATAGTACTTTACACTATTTTGTTTAGACCAAAGTCACCTTTAATTAACACTTCCAATCAAGGCCTGAGCCATTCAAACTTAGATTAAGAATGGTGGCACTTCCCCACCTGGAAAAAAGATTAGGTGTCCCTAATCTGCTTTCCCCATTTAGGTCTAATATCCATTTTCCTTTTAGGTATCTCAGACATTTTTGGGCCCAGTACTTTCCTTCCATGGCTTCCTCTAGTTTGGCGTTATATGCTGGTCTTAACTACCCTATTAGCATCAGCAAAACTGGTAGCAGAGGAAAAGTAAATGGATCTCCTGTGGCTTCCTTCTTTGGAAAAATATTTACCTGAAAGCTAGAATCCCTATGCTTTACTCTCAGTTCTGTTAGAGGTCAGCTGTAAACCTGGTCCTGTCACTAAGGTACAGCTGACCTGAAAGGGCTATCGTTAGAAAAAAGCAAGACAATGCATACATGGCAAAGAAAACAGAAATCATTGTAGACTGAACGCTCTGATGCCTGAAGACCACATTAGGACAGACAACCCTCTATTTCTCTTTCTTCACATGTGAATCGGGAATAACTAGTTTCCCATGCCTCTTTCAGATGGGTTCTCTTGACAACTGACTAAAACAGAAATTATACCTGACACATATTATCATAAATGATCATTACTTAAAGACATTATACACATTTAGATCCCGTAGAAAAGATAAAAAAATCAAATTATACAGAACTAGTACAAAGGACACAAAGTACACTAACATTGTAGTCTCCTTGTCTAATGGCTAGTCCTCTTTTCTCTCATTTTTCAGATCAAATTGAGTTTTACAATATACACTAAGGATCAGTATTATGAATTTGACTTTAAAGCTAATAAGTCAGTATTACAATCACACACCTGCATTTTTCTGCAAGCAAATTTAAAAGGAACATTTGATATTAACCTTTGTACTTCACATGAAATTACTTTAAGCCAGACTATGTGAAATTTATATTAGACCTATATTTGTGTGCTTATGGAAATGGAAAAGGTTTTAAATTGTTAAACCATCATAAAACAAGAGAAAAAGAGGGGGGAAGGGAGAAGGAAGGAGAGAGGGAGGGAGTGGGAGAGGGAGAGAGAGGAGAGGGAGAGAGAGATTAACTTGTGTTGAAAGTTAAATCCAAGAAATCACAAATAGCCTTAACATTACCATCCAGGAAAGTCTGTTCAAGATAATCAATGATCTGAGTGGCCTCACAAATTATGTTTTCCCCGTGGATAAGGACAGGCACTTCTCCAGTTGAGTTCAAACGCATAAACCAAGGCTCATTGTGCTCACTCAGGGGTAGACTTACATCATGTTCCTCGCACTTCAATGCCTTTTCAGCAATTACCAAGCGCACCTGGAAGAGTTCACAGGGGTTACTACTGTTTTCAATTAAAGGATTTCCCAGGATATAGCTCAACAGCCTTTGCAGGCTTCCTAAGCTATCAGCACTTTAAAACACTCTTTTCCTGATGCCTGTTCCTAGGAGGAATAAAAGAGATACACTTTGGTGATTTATTGCTATAAACTAAAGAAGAAAGCAAAATGAGTAATGAAAATTATTCTATCTTCATTACAGTCACTCTCCACATTTCCATCCTGTCTTTGTGCCCTAAATCAAATTATGTATTTTGCCCAGACACAAACCTATAGTGTGGAGTTTTGCCAAAGACAGTGAGCACAAGTAAGGGAAAATAAAATTCCATTCACTTGAGTGTTTGGGGGCGGAGGACGGTGTTGTTTGGTTTTTGTTTTGTCTTTGGGGAAGGTACATTTATATGATTTTTGTCTTCTACCCGCTCCACCCCTTCCACTCCGATGCTGGAGACTACGGAACCCAGGGCCTTGAATTTGCTAGGTTAAGTGCTCTATCACTGAACTAAATCCCCAATCCCGATAAAAATAATTTTTTAAGGGGGCGTGAATGTCTAGCGTGGTGGTCCAAGCCTGCAATCCCAACATTTTGGGAAGCCTAGGCAAATTGGTGTACATGGCAAGTTTCAGGCCGGCAAGGATTACACTGCGAAACCCTGACTAAAGAACAATCTTAAATTAACACAAACAAATATCTAGGAAGTGGATCAAATGGTTGCAGGATGGCGCTTTTCCCTGCCTCATCTCAGGTCTCGTAGAGCAGGCGGCCAAGGCCTCTGGGCCAAATGCTGAACGTGATGAGTCGCGCTTCAAGAGTGGCAGTGCCGGCGTCACCGCCTTCCGGGTCGCCCCGCTTCTCCTGCCCGCACCCTGGCGCACCCCGGCTCCGGGTCCGGGTCCCCGTCCAAGGCCAGCACAACACGCGCAGGGAGCTGTCCCGGTGCTGAACCCGAGCAGGGCCCTCGGCCACCAGGCCTTTACCTTCTGCGAGCTGAAGGAATGCGTCCAGTGGTACAGAATGAGCCTAACCTCCACGTCCGACCCGCCCTCCGCGCTCAGGGGCGCGCCGGCCCGCGGCTCCTCCCGCCTCCGAGCCATTTCGGGGTGCAGGTGCCCAGGGAGCCTTGCTGGCGAGGCAGGCCTGCGCCCGCCCGCCGCGCCCTGTGCAGCGTCCTTCGGTTTCCCGACACCCCCCGCTGCAAGGACAAGCGCCGCCCACGAACAGGCCTCTGGGAAATGTAGTTTTGCCCCCAAGGACGCTGTGGAACCGGGTCTACAGAGGCTCCGGAGTGCAGGTTCCCTGGCGATGCAATGGGATGCTTCTTAGGAAGGGAAAAAGTCTAAAATGCGAGTGCCTGTTTATTCTGGCACAAAAAATGATGATAGCAAATTATTCGTGGGTTTTGGAGGTTGCTTGGATATAAAGGTAGCGATTTCCCAAGATACTCAGGGTTTTTCCTTTGGCAGAAAGGAAGTTCCGGTGGACAAAGCGACAGGATATGTATCAAGGGGTTTTCATTAGAAGATACTGCTGTGGAGTCATAAAAACTATGTATCTCATAAATAACCATCAACAAATGGCCTATTTGTTAAATTCAGATGTTTTTAGAGCGGAAATGCCTTGAGATCGTGTCCTGTTTTTTCCGTTTTGAAATGAAGATCATTTTATGTCACTCAGGTTTTTGTGAGAACTGAAAACGTAAAATGTTACAATCAACATGCAATACTACTCACAAGCCCAGTTGCCTTATAAATAGTCCTGTGATCAGAATCACAATTGCATACTAGTCTAATTATATTGTACAGCTCTTAAAATCTGGAATCATAGTAAACTGATAAAATTTCTAAGCAAATTCATATAAATATGGCCATGAAATAAATTTCCTTGTAATTCACTCAGCAAATACTATTTGAGAACTCATGTTGCAGGCATTTTTGCTAGATCCTTGAACTACAAAGATTTGCTGTACAAAACCACAGGCCTAGCACCCAACATGTAAGTCTGTTGGCAGTGGGAAGAACATATGAGTAATAGTCATATGAAATAGTCATAGTGAAATAACAAGGTTTTAGGGCCAACACAGGAAACTATGAGAGAGTTAAGAATGGCAGCCAGCCCAGGTAGGAAAAGTCCCCAAAAGAGACAAAAATGTCATGAAACTACCCCCCCCCCTTATAGTACTTCACTTGTTGCTCTATATTTCTCTTATAATTTGAAATGACTTTATATTTTCTTAGGTTAATTTAAGCAGCAGAAGTGATCTCCTTCACAATTTTGGTTTTATTGGGTCTTTTTGTTTGGAGGATGAGAGGTATTCAGGCTTCTAGCATGCCAAGTATGTGCTCTACCACAGTTATACACCCAGTTCCATCAGCTCATTTTTAAAGTGGAAAAGGAAAACACTTTAAAATCAGGCAAGTGAAGTTAAATTCTAGCTCCACCCTTAGCTTGACCTTCAGCCTTTACTTAAACTTAGATAAAGTAAAGATGTGTAAAAATATGCATCTGTACAAACTGATAAGGCAACTCTATGAGAAAACATGCATAGAGCACCTAGGACATTGCCCAGAATGCTTGCTCCTGGGAGACAGGATATTGAGCCTGAAGGTGGGGAAAAGGACCACATCCTGGGCTTGGCATTGCCTGGGAAATAAACTGAACTTCAAAAGACACTGAGGACTACCATACTAACCTCAGTCTGCAAACCTCCATTGTTCTACTTACAAAAGAAGTGTACTAATTCTATTTAAAAGAGCAGTTTGTTTAAGGCAGACTTCTTACCTATTCTCATGAATATATTAAGCATGTAAAATATTGGTGGATTTAATTTCTTTATACTTTTATGTCCTAAGTTTTCCATAATGAATATGTGTTGCTTTTACCCCTTAAAGACATGTATATCAAGAGAACCTCACTAAATAAATAAGGAAATATGGTAAGGGTTTTTTTTTAATCACACAGACATAGAAGAACTGTTGTATCTAAATCCTGTGGTCTAGAATTTTTTATTTTCCAGACTAATAAAAGCCACCTGAGAGTAATAGAAAGTCCTTATTATTCATTCATATCTTTATTCAAAACTTGCACTTAATGCCGGTGCATTTTATACTTACATGTACATCATTGTGGGCTGCTGGAGAACAGAATCCAGATCCAGGTAAATCAGTGTTTCAATACATAATAATTACTGACCTCTGCATGTTCCAGGCACAGCACTAGATGCAGAAGACATGGAGTAAAAGTCATAGTCAGTGGCCATAGAAATATGTTTGGAAAGAAATGAAAATTCAATACAGTGCAGTAATTACTGTGATATGTACAGAATTATGATAGGAATATAGAGGTAAGCTAGCAAATATTCAAAATCATCACTTATTTTCTCTATTATTTATACTATTTTATATGTGTATGTATGTAGTTTGCATGCATGTATTCATGTGCACATCTGTGGGGGCACATGTGTATGCCAGTGAAAGTGTATGTGTGTGTATGTGAAGGCTAGAGGAGCACATCAAGCATCTTCCTCCATTGCTCTCCACCTTGTATATTGAGGCAGGGTCTCTCAGAGATCACCAAATCAACTAGTCTAAAAAGCCATCTTGCCCCAGGGATCCCGTCTCCAACTCCCAAATGGTAGGATTACAGGTGGGCTGCCATGCCAGCATTTACATGGGTGCTAGTGATCTGAACTTGGGTCCTCACCTTTATGAGGCAAGCATCTTACTCACTGAGCCATCTCCCAAGTCCATATTATCTATGCTCTTTGAGTTCATTTGTGTCTACTATAATTCCATGATGAGGGTGCATCTCTTCTTAACTCACTGTTCAGTGATACCAATCACTTAGAGATAGCCATAGTAGAAACACTTATATTACAGATATCGATAATGGAATCAACTTTAGTTTTTCACAGATAGTTGATAAACATTTTCCACTATACCTATCTCATTCAGTATATAATAAATTGTTTTGGTGGTGGGGGTGATGATGGTCAAGAGAACCCTGAGTCAATTTGTGAGTGAGCTAATTTGTATAGTACTCCGATTTTGGTATCTTTTCCAGTCTCAGCCAGCTTTAGTTCAATTCCTTTCTCTGTTTCTTAGATACCTGCACACAATTCTTATTATATTTTCATTCTCTTCATTATGCTTTGGAAAACAGTGGATATGTACCAGTCTATCTGTCCCCTAGCAAACGCTACACATTTCATCTAGCACATCTTCCCAGCAGCAAACCACAGCTAGTAGATTGCAGAAACTAGATTCTTGAATTAGTGTTTCATATTACTATCTTGTCAAAAGTGCAATAGTAAAAAATTTTCACATCTGAAAATCATAGGCAATGTTTTTATAATCTCTCTTGAACTCCATGACAGTCTGAGGGGTGGCTTCCATCCATAATTGACATTTGAGGAAAACGGATTTAGTAAATGAGAAACCAGGACAAAATCCTATAGTTGGTGGTAGAGGTATAACTTTAACACTAATTTTCTGCCTGCTAGTCAAGTGCAATGTTCTGTAGACCATGATATCCCTTATCTAATGGGAGAAAGTTGTAGAGTTTCAAGCTATTGACAGTATGTGGTAAGCTTGGGGAGAAATATGGACACCTTGTTGGAATTTAGTCTGCATAGATATCTAAACACCTATTAGAGTCATTGTCAAACTACTGTCTGGGTGCTTTGATGTGTGTCAGATTGAGCCTCTTTAGGACAAGGACTCACAGCATTCTCATTTTAGCATCTCCAGGAATCCAGAGTGGTGTGTTATACATAAAAGATACACTTAAACTATTAATTGATGAAAAATAGGTATTTACTCCCAAAACATGAAAAAAAAACTAAGTCCAATTTTAAAAAGAAAATTTCAGCCTATTGGTTCAGAGATACTATATGTAAAAATAAGTTTGACAAAATTTAATATTTAAAATCTGAATTAAGAATCAGGCCCTGTGACATAGCGATATCTTGTCAACAATGGCTGTGAATCCTGACCACTTAAGTATTTCTGGTGAATGAAGTCTAAATAAGTTTGACTGATATTGTAAAAGAGTAAATCACATACCCTTGGAGCCTTAGTCTCCTTACCTACAAATTATGGTAACAATATTCCAGGTATACTGGTGCACAAACATACATAATTTTGAAACATTCTTTAAACAATTATGATTTCTACACTTTCCTATATGTTTGATGATTTAATGAAGTTTTAATTTAGATAGTATTGCTATGTCTGAATGGCATAAATATGTGTAAAGGTTACTGAATGAAAAATCCTATTTCTTATCTTAAGTACTTTGACAAGTTTTTAGGTAATATCTTTTTGTTGTTGTTGTTAATGAATATCACCTGTCAGAAATTTCAAAAACTGAATACTTCAGAATATTTGTTTGTTGTTTTTTTTTAAGTACTAATATGAATGACCACAAGAGGTCTCTAGTTTTTAAGAAAAAAAAAATCCCTACTATTTTTCTTTCTGGACAAATTAGAAAACACAGTGATCTTTCCCAGAGAGTGTATTTAATTAAGCAGCATCAAAAGCATATTTTCCAAAATTAAGAGAAACATATTTTATACATGTCGAAAAGGGAGCATTGTTCCTACTTTTCTTCTGATGGTAGCAACATAAATGCTAAGCACCCAGGAGCTTGGTTGCCAGCTCACCTGGATCCATGCCAGTGGTCAAGTCCATGTGAGTCACATGGAATTTGTAAGTGAATAAGACAGAAGAAGAGGGCATTCACTCACATAGGCACAGGCACAAGAAAGCAGGGACACTGTGACAAGACATGCTGTGACCAAAAGCACACTGGGGGTAAGGGGTAGTAACCCAGACTTGGTGCCATGACAAAGCTGTACTGTATCAAAGGGGTTCTGTGACCAATACGTGAAAGTTAGGCACACAGGAATCAAAAAGCACTCTACCTCCCCCTGAGCCAAAGAGGGGTCCTTATTTATAAATTATTTTTAAGAATTTTTTGGGGGGTCTTTTTGAAACAGGGTCTCCCTGTACCCTCAGCTGGCCTGGAACTCACTATGTAGACCAGGCTGGCCTCGAACTCACAGAGATCTGTCTGCCTCTGTCTCCCAAGTGATGGGACTACAGGCATGTGCCACCACACCTGGCTTAAGAATTTTTTTCTTGAATTTGAACACAACTCAATTGTCCATAAAACTCTA